GCAACCCCATCGCTCCCAGTCCCTATCAGCCTAGAGGGCAAGAGACAGGGCTGTGGGATCAAACCCAGGCCTCGTGCTCAGCAGCCCAGAATCACTGCATGGCTGAGTTTACGAAAAGCAGCAGACAGCCAAGCCTGGCACTAGGATCTGGGGGCTCTCCAGGACGTTAGTCTCCATCTTTCTCTCCTCCTTCCCCAAACGCTTTCTTCTACCTACTCTCTCTTCCTATGGCTAGGGATGGCTACTGCCCTCCATCTCACCACTTGGTGGCCAGGCAAAAGGGGCATGGCAGGTCTTTCCCTGGGTTTGGACCTGCTGCTCTCTGTTCGGCAGAGCTAGCACAGCCCCCACCAGCACGTTCAGACAGCTGGTGACCCCTTCGAATTAAGGTCATCTTACAAAACAGGGGACCAATGTGGTTCTGAAGCCCTGGGCCATGAGCTTACCAGGGTCCCAAAAGCCAACTCTACAGATAGCTCAGGAGGTGCATGACTCCTCCCCCCACCCCCCAGAGGGACTGACTTTCACTGACACCCCACACGGGCCTTATGCTGCTGGGGACACCAGTGCAATCAAGAGGAGTCACGGGGGCCACAGATGGATGGAGTCAGGGAGGTCGTGTCTCTTAGTGAGGATACGCCTTTAAACATACTGCCCATGCCCTGCATTGCCTCTTTCCTAAGGGCTCTGGACTGAGGGGCTGCCTGCCCGAATTGAAGCCTGGCAGTGCACAGCCATGCTGACCCGTGGTACATGGACATACTCCCAGTGCACAGCAGGCCCAGGTTTCTACATGGGCAGGAGAGGCACCTAAAGTGCCAAGATCCCAGGGGCCTCCCTCACCTCCAGCATTCAGCCTGCTCTGCGGAACATAACGTTTGGAGCAGCTCAGCTGATAATACTGAACCGGGGGCCAGGTGTGCCGATCTGAAAGGCCAATTCAGGGCTTTGTTTGGAGAAATACAGGTGCTAGAAAGATCAGGAAAATTAAGAAGTTCCAGGTCAAAGATGAGTCTGGAAAGGTTATAAGAGACCCAATCTGGAGAGGTGCCAAGCACCCCTGACTCCTCACGGTAGTTGTGTGTGCTAAGTACGTACTCAACCCCTCTCAGGATGGGGCTCTGTATAGAGAAGGAAGATGATGAATGAGTCATGTAAGTGCTTAGACTCATCTATTGAGCAAGACAGTGCCTGGGCAGAGCCCAACTCACTTCAGGTCGCAGTGAATCAGACCTGCGTGCACCAGGCATTGAGCTGGAGGCTTTTTACGATTGGTTGTTATTCAGAGCTGTTTGAACACTACCGTGAATGAACATATCCCAGGCAATGGGCTGATCTCTAACCCTTCACTCCCTCTCTCTATTTGCCCTTTGGCATGTGTGAATGGTCATCTAGGTCACATGGTCTTGTTTCTGTTCCCTGATTGGATAACAGAACCTTTTGTACAACAGGAGAGGCGACTCAAAGAGATTTCAAGATGGCCACATATTTGCACTTGTATTCACAAGAGACCTGAAACTTCCACACACATTCTTGTACAAGGCAGAGGTGCCCAAAGGTCACCAAAAATTAAAAGAGAATGTTATGGATGCCGTTGAACTGGATTCACAGAGTTCGTTCAAATGAGCGTATGTGAATATTGTTCTCCAGTGTTTGCCCAGCCAGATCAGAAAGGGAGGAAGTGTGGCTCTTGAGAGATTTTTGAAGAATAACATCGGGACACACAAGAATAACATCGGGACAACACATCCTTGTCTAGCCATCACCAGCAATGGAGAAACAGCTGTTGGGGCACAGAGACCATCAGCAATGCCTCTGCTCTCAAAACAGGAGTCATGACCACCTCCAGGGGGTGCTATCGAGCCAAGAAACTGAGCAGGACACAGTGACGTTGCGTGAATTTGTTGCAGTGCTTTGGCCAACGGTGACAGGTGAAGTTGGTGAAGATTTAATCACCAATAAATTGTGCCGAAACACAGGTGACTTCCCAAATTTGTCTGACTTTATGGAGATGACAAAGTCTAAGAGGAGGATATTTTCATCAGGAAAGAGATAAATAATGAAAGTTTCAGAAGAGGCTAAGATCTGTAGTGTCCACAGCCCTCAGCTCCACCAGGCTCCAGTGAGTGGAAGAATACACTGGATCGCCTTAAAGGGCATGAGAACTGCATCTCCCACTGGCACAGCTCACAGTCTGCCACTCTGTCTTCACCTACCTACGCACATGGACTGCAAACTAGGTGAGAAGTGTGAATGAGAATGCAGTTTCTGGGGCGACGTCATGGAAAGAGTGGCCATAAATGTACAGCATTTGAGGTTTTGCCCTATTTTGGTGACTGAAAGTTCCTTAGTTCTCCAAAGGATGGAATCTTACCTGAAACTTTAGAGCCAATGACAGCTATCAATCCATTTCTGCCTATGCGCCTAACCACATCTGGAATTCCTGTTCAGTCACCTATCCTACATCTATGCGTTATTCCAAATTCACTCGGAAAAGAAAGTGACTCGTCCACTCAGAGGCCCCAAATCATAAATTAAAAGTCCGATTTCCCAGTCAGCCGTAGAACAGGAAACAAATCAAACGGGTGAGCTTTCGAAGGGCTTCCCATGCAATTTAACTTCCATATAACTCATATTGCAGGAAGAAAACCCTCTTCAACCTAATGTGAGCTGTGGAATCAATTGACCTGCTTTAGGACTCTTCAGAAGAGATGAACTTTTTTTTTCCCCTCTCCCTTTTTCCAGATCACTGACTCAGCAAATTAGAACAAGAATATAATTTAGCAATACAGCGGTTTTTGAAAGACACCGGTCCCCCCCTACCCCCACCGCCCAAATAGATTTTTTTCCCCTTCACTATTCATTCAGATCTGATGCTAATTGAAAACTTAGAACGTGGCTTAGAAAACAGTAAGTTCTCTCCTTCAGAAGACGTCAGAGGTTGCATAATACCCTTGCAACCTGGTACAACATCTTGCTGCCTCCGCTGAGGTTGAGGTGTTTTTAACCTTTGTTGGCTTCACAGGAGCAATCTTCAGCAGCAGGAGGAAGGCACACAGCCTGAGCAGTGGTCAAGCTACCAAAAATCGACCGTGAATTAAATGGAATATACAGAGGACTTTGTTCAGAGGACTCAGCCCAGCCAAGAGTGATCACTACTCCCAGCACAGAACACTCACTCACGCTTTAGCCATTTCTGCTCAAGGAGCAGCGGGGAGATTCATTTCCCTCGTATCCACACAGCTCTTCCAGGTCAAGGTTGTATCTTTGACATGCAAGGGATTGCTTTTGTTGCTACCTACATCGCTTTTGTGCTAGGGCTTTATAAAGTGCTACACACATCCCCACCAAAACAAAACTAACACATGGGAATCAGAAAACATCTCTGGTCAACAGAACGTTTCCAAACAACAGGTCTTCTGGGATTTCAAATTCAAGCGAGAAACTGGACCGCGGGTGAACTGTCCTTCCACAGCTGAACATCAGAAGCCCTGGTCACCCATGGCTAGGAGATTTTATTTTAAAAAGCCAAAATACAGGGATAGATTTATGGGAAGAGCATCTGATGATACAAAACGCCCACGCCAGGGATTCCCCCAAGCCCCAATTTTATTGACCTTTCCTCATTTAAGGGATGGATAAAGTAGTGAATAGATGCATACATGTTGGCGTTAATAAAGCACGGTAGTTCATTGTCATCTCATGTCTGAAACATGCCCAGAGGCACTGTATGCGCCTAACTTTTCACATAATTTAAGCTGAAGTTTACTGGGAACAACTGAGTTCTGACCTTGCTCCACAAGGCTCTGGTTGAATTTCAGGCACGTCTGATAACTCAATCCATGCTGCCTTGCATATGGGCTCCAGATTAATAACCCATCTGCCCTGCACTAGCACTCGATCAGGAATCAGCTTCACAAGCCAGCGGGATATGTTCGGGCAGCCCTTTTCTAGCACTGAATCCTGCAGTCCTTACTCAGACTAAACTCCCAGTGATCTTAAAGAGCATTTGCCCAAGTAAAGATTAAGGACCCAATCCTGAAAGGAGCAGAGCACCCTGGATTCTCACTGGATTCTGCTGGCTGGCAGCAGCTCCCAGGAGACACCCAGCACGCTCCGGTACTGGACACTGAGGAAGCCTATCAGACCTGGCCCACAGTCCAGACATAAAAAAAGGAAAGATCAGGGGCCAGATTCCATTCCCAATTACACCAGTGTATATCTGGAGTAACTCCTCTTCCTTCAATGGATTCATATTGGTGTCATCAAGCTCAGAATCTAGCCCTAGGTAAGCTTAGGTTGTCTCAGCACTGGACATGTTTCCCAAATGAAGTGGCCATTCCCCAGTTGATCACACCAACTTTCAAGAGCTCATCCCCTAACAATTTGCACACAGCACAATCATTTTCATAGGAATTAACCACAGCCTGTTTCTTCCCTTTCAGAACAAGGGGCAAACTAATGACTTACAGTGGAACACTAGTTTGGAAAAACAGGTTTAACGGATTGATAATGGCAGGGTAACTGCCTTGAGACCTGCCATGAAAAGCCAAGAATTTAGGGCCTGCTCCAAAACCAACTGCTGTCCACGAAACGACTACCACTGACTTCAGAAGGCTTTGGATCAGGCTCTCAACCCATGATTCACTTACTGGCTCAAGGAATTGTACTAAGCAATGGCTAGCTAGCTGGTAGGTACAATAGTGAGACACTCCCCCTGTTATAAAACTCAAAAGCCCCTACAGGAGTCAATAGAAAGGATACAAATCTACAGAGGATTGTAATCATCATGGCAAAACCTATTTCAGATGATATTACTGATAATTACTAATCAGAATACAGTCGATCAGCATGAGGGGATCGCTGACAATTTGTGTGTGATGCTAAAGGCAGGAATTGTTAAGAAGAAGAAAAAAGCCCCAGGATTTTATCATCTCTATCACCATCCAAAGGACAGCAGACCAAGAGAAAGGTTAGGATGTCGGACTACAGCCAGTTACCTCCAGCGCTGCAGACGGCTTCTTTTTGAGTTCCTCACATTTTCGGAATTTGCAAATCTGGTGGCCAGTTTTGCGATTCCTACAACTGCTGCACTGCTCGCAGTTTATCCGTCTTCGGCACGGAGGGCACATGCCACATCTTTTCCGTTTCTTTTTCCCAGAATTGATGGCAGATGCCAATTCATTCTGCATCGGGTACTCTGCCAAGCCAGCCATATGGAGCGCACTCTCTGCCAGAAACACGCCAGCAGGGGTCATAATGAAAAGGCCTGGGTTTATGGGAAAAGCCCCCAGGTAAGGAAAATCAGATGGGCTGTTCATTGTCTCTGCAGCTGAGACCGCTTCCATATCAGAGATACCAGTCCCGTGGTCATTTGGTAAAGGAATGTGCTCCTGTACCACTCTTTTGAGCATATCTGTAGACTGAGCAAACTGTTGTAGGCTGATCTGTCCTTCTGATGAGATTTCTGACGCCCTGTCTGATTTGCTCAGCATACTAGAGATGTTTTTGTGCTTTGAGGTAGAGTGACTTTTATCCACAGTTGTTGCTTCATTGCCATTAGCTAAGGAGGTTCCTTTCTCTGAATGTTCGCTTACCAAGCTGCTGCTGCTGAAGGTGGAGTAGTGGGAGAGCGGACGCGATTTCTTAAGACTTTTGTTCAAAGGTTCACTTATGATCCCACTTTTGTTCCTCCTCTCGGAGTTGATGGGGGGTTGCGAGTCCTCTTGGTTATTTCTGTCCAACATGTTGGGCTTGTTACCAGCGTCTTGAGGGGCGCCAGAATTAGACATGGTGTTAAAAAAACCAGAACCAAACCAAAAAACCAAACCCCACTCGCCGCGGCAACTAACCAACCAACCACCAAAAACTGAAATAATTATAATCAACAGGGGAATCCTTCCAACTCTGCTGCAGGAGTCTTCAGGGCAACGTCAGTGCAGGGACATCATCTGCGGTGCTGGTACAAAACATACGGCTCTGGAAGTAGAAAACAATAGACAGTTAGCAGTGGCACAAGCGACTGTGCTTTCCAAAGCCACTCTCCAGCTCCCTGCAATGAAAGCCTCAGCTCCACTAACAATGAACCGACAGGGCACGGACCTGGACTGGGATCAGTTATTCTACGCTGTTACATTTAAAGGGTCACCATCATGGATTTCAAAGGAACGGCCAGGCCTGGCTGACTAGCAGCACCCTGCACTGCTAATGCGCCAAGGATCTGATTCCCCTTTCCCACTGGGGGAAATGAGGAGGAACCCTGCCGAAGCCAGCAGCCCAGATCCTCTCCTCCAGCTGAGCAGTGTTCGGCACAGGTCCGTGAAGTGAGGAAAGGTGGCTTTAAGTCACCTTTGTGCTGCCCTGATTCTGAGGCTGCTAGCCTGGTCCCTAGAGCACCACTGAATCTATTTCCTTCCCACATCCCCAGCAGCCGTCCCTGCAGCTGAGGATCAGTCAGACACAGTGGCATCTTGTCCATGCCCTCTTTTTCCTAGCCACATACCCAAACAGACAGATTTCTCTTAATGCCGGACTTGAGGTTGCCAGATCAGAGCCAGGGACTGGCCCAATGGCATTGCACTAGGGTACAGCTGGTGTGAGAAGAGAACCAGGCCCCGGCAATCTACTCTGTTTTCACCATTTATGCGGATTCATTTTCCCTTGTCTCACCCAGCTCAGGCAGCGACTAAATGGGTCAGTCTGTGTTTCTGGCCTGACTCCCTCTCGTGTCCTCAATCACTGCCCGAGCGCTGCTGCTGCTCGAGGAGTTCCTGGAGCTGCAGGGGGGATTGCTTCTTCTTCTTCTTCTTTTTTTTTTTTAAGAATGAACGCTTGCCTTGGGAGGCAGACAGGAAAGTGACGAGACCGTCCCGTGATGAGAACGTCCCTCTCCGTGCTGTATAGCAGACCCCAGAGGTTTGGCCTACACTGAGCTGGTGTAATCCCTCTAGTGAAGTGGTCCTCAAACTGTGGGTCAGGACCCCAAAGTAGGTTGCAACCCCATTTTAATGGGGTCACCAGGGCTGGTGTTAGACTTGCTGGGGCCCAGGGCTAAAGCTGAAGCCTGAGTGCTTCAGCCCTGGGTGTTGGGGCTCAGATTACAGGCCCCCTGCCCAGGGCAGCAGGGCTTTGGCCCCCCTCACCCAGGGTGGTGGGGCTCAGGCAGGCTCAGACTTCGGTCCCACATCCTGGGTTCGTGTAGTAATTTTTGTTGTCAGAAGAGCGTCACGATGCAATGCAGTTTGAAAACCCTGCTATAGTGAACCAGTCTGCAGACAGCAAAACCAATCGGAGAAGCTTCCTATGGCCACATGGGCCTGATTCTGATCTCACCTACACCAGTGTAGCCCCACTGCCTCCAGCTGCGTTCCTACTTGCTGTGTAAGGCGGTCCTGGTACTGCTACCCTCAGCATTGAGCGCCCGGCTACGTTTCCTGAAGGGTGGCCTCCCCTGGGTAGTTCCCGTGTCTGGGTCACTGCAATACCGCAGCGGGCACAAGTCAGAGCACTCGCCTGCCGGGCGCCCAGCTGGAGGAGAGTGGGAGGAGGAGCTGCTCAGACCTGTGCCCACAACCCATTCTACGGGGGGGTAAATGTGCTGGTGCAAATTCCGCAGGCCCAACCTGCTCCCGCAAACAGGGAGGTCAGGGCCCAGCTTGGCTGCAGGGAGACTCATTAGTGCAAAGTTCGCCCCCCGCACCCAACAGGCACAAAGCCAGAGTAATCAGGCTTTAGATGAGAAAAGCTTAGGGGCATCAAGTCCACATGCCACCCACCAAGCCGGCTGCAGAGCCACGGGGCTGTCGCTTCCTGAGCTGGAGGCTGGCCATGGCCCTCCTCAGGGGTCTCAGCCACTGGACAGGCCCAGCAGCTCCCACCGACAGCACTTTATCCACACTGGCCTATCAGAACCGACCTGTGGTGCCCAAGGGCCATGATGACCTCCTGCCCAGCTGTTCAGAAAAGGTGGCGTAGCAGGACGGGACACTTGGGTGAGCCCTGATTTCGGGTGGGTGGGCAATGACAGGGGGCAGGGGAGGGGGAGCAGGAGGGATTGGGGCCGCTTCCCGCCCACCGTCCCCAGCCGGCCTTGCGTGGGGCAATGGACACGCTGGCCAGGAGCCCCCTGGGGCCGAGGCACACACCCGGGGAGTGGGTTCGGGGCACAGCGGCTTGCCCCACTCAGCCCACCCGCTCGGTGCTCCAGTGGCCAAGCCCTCGTGCCCCAACCCTGCTCCCCGGATGGAGCGCTGGGCAGGCGAGCGGAGCGGGACAAGCTCCCGACCCCTTTCCCCGGATAGAGCGCCAGGCAGGCGAAGAGGGCTAAGCCCCTGCGCTCCGACTCCACTTCCCAGCTGGAGTTTTGGGCGGAGCAGGGTAAGCACTGGGGCCGGAGCAGAGCCGGGGCTGCGGGGGTGGGCATGGATGCTAAGTGGATGGGCCATGGCCCACCCAGGCACACTGGTGGATAACACCCCTGCTCTGACAATGCCCCCCCACCACTGCCTCAGGGCCTGAGCCACACAAACCCGCCCAGCCTGGCCCATTTGGCGTCACAATGTGGCGTCTCATCTGCCTTAAACCAACAAGCCCTGATTATTCCCAGCGCCAAGAGTGACAGCTGCGTTATCTCTTTGGCACGCTTCTCCCTGCTCTTGTCTATCCGTCATTCCTCCCTTTCTTCTAGGTGTTCTGCAGCGAACATCTTATTCAATATGACTGCATGGCCTGACCCAGCTACAGAGTGTTTAAATCTCTCTGCGGGCCTGCAGTAATTAAAGGGAAGAGGCTTGCAAATACAGGATCATACAGTCTTCCCACATTACATGACCTCTCTGCCAACGGACAGTCACCCAGCCACGGCGGAACCAGCTCTAAAGTGAAATCTGTATCTCCTCCTGGCAAGATCAGTGCGCCGGGAGATCATACTGGAGGAAAGGGAAGAGGTCCCATCTCACCCCAATAAGGGAAATGCCTTGACTCATAAGAGAAATGTTCCTACCACTGTACTATTATCCCTTTCTTCAGCGCTTGCATGTTGTAATGTAATGTGCAGCTATGTAGCCTTTCAGCCTGGAGGTCACAACCAGGGGTCAGGGCATTGTGGCTGCCCTGTCCCCTCCCCCCATGTTAGTAAACGGGAGGGGGATCCTGGCTAGCTAGAAGGGGTGGGCCTGAGATATGGAGAAGGCTAAAATGTAGGATATTAGCACTGCTGCAGCAATGACAGGACCAGCTCAGGTAAACTGGTGCAGATCCCATGGAAATCTATGGGCCAAAGTCAGCAGTGACATAAAGGATGGTGAGAGGATGCACGTAAGGGATGAAGTAGGGTATCTTGCACCAATCTGGCACTGAGTCAGCGTGCAAAGCCATAACCGCCGCTGCTGGAGTCAGTGGGTCCCAGGCAAGTCTCTCTCCAGCAGCACTCTGGGGTGTCGCACCTTTATTGCAAAAACGCCTGTAACTGGCATGCCAGGGGCCCGGAGGGGAGCGAAGCAGGAAAAGCATCTAACAAGAGGATGTGAGATAAAGTCACCCAGCCTCCTTATCTTACGCCCTCCTGTTACTGCTTTTCCTGCTGCCCCTCCCTCCACCACCCCCTTGGTGTGGAAGTCACACTTGTTTAGCACACCTACGTGCTGAGCAGCTAGCACCCAGCCTGTAACTCTCACCCAAGCTCAACATTCTTGGGGCCCCAATCAGCTGAGTCTGGGAAGGGCCGTGGGAGGCCTTGGATACGCCCAAACAGGGATGGTTCTCCTGCACAGGCAGAGAGAGGGTGCAGAGAGACCAGCATGAGCTGGGTGCTGTGGCAGCCTCTGCAGATACCCCCCTGCCCCATGAGGTATCTCCTCATGGCAGGATCAGTGTGCCGGGAGACCACATTGGAGGAAAGGGAAGATCTCCCAGCTCAGCCAGGTAAGGGAAATGGAGCGACTGATGAGAGAAATGTTCCTACCCTTCTTCAGCTCTCGTGTGTTACAATTTCAAGTGCATCCATGCATCTATGCAGACTGGGGGCCATAAACAGGGCTTCCTGGGAGCAAGCAGTGGCAACCCCCACACAAATCAACACACCAGGAGCAGCCTGGCCATCACATTGGAAACAGAAGCCAACGTGGCGAGCGCAGCCAAACAGGGACAGACAAATCCAGCACGGGCACAAGGGGGCGCAGAGCCAATTATGGCCTCGGTGAATCAGTGCTAAGGGCTACATGCAAAGATCAAGCACCATGACGCTAGCCCCACGGAATAGTTATACAAGGCCCTTCATCCTAAAGGTGCCCAAAGAACTGGCAGACTGGCAGCTCAGATCTTCTTCCCCCAATTGCAAACCCCACGTGAACAAGCCTTGCACAAGGGACTCTGCAAAGTGAGGGTGGCACCCCTGCCAAACACGGGAGGTGGATTGCATCCACATCACTGTAGATCGGCACTAGCCCCAGATCCTTCCCCTGCCCCCTGGGGTAATTTGAGGAGGCTGCCACAGCACCCATGCCAGTCTCTCTGCACCCTTTCCCTGCCTATGCAGCACAACCGTCCCTGCTTGGGAGCATCCAGGGCCTGCTACAGCCCTTACTTGGCTGAGCTGATTTGGCCCATAGAAGCTGTATGCAATATGCAGATGTGTCTAGATGCAGCACATGCCAGTTCTGACGGGCAGTCAGGACTTCTACAGCCAGTGGAGCTGATTTCCTCCCAGTGAGCAGTGCTGGCTGATAGCGCCACTGTTTATCTGGGAGGCAGATGCTCCCACTGAATACAAAATGGATTGCTCCCCCAGCACCCCCAGTCCCTGCTGGGCTTCTGAGCTCCCCAGGAACAGGCGTGGAGCTTAGGCGCTTCAGAGCTCGTACAATCCGGTGGCTACAACCCCTGCTGAGCTTAGAAGCGGGATGTCTTCGGATAATTAGGACGGCTCCATAATTGGGATAACAGGCTGTCCAGCAGGCTGCTCCAATTAAGCAGCTTCTTCT